CGGCTTGCTTCTTGTAACGCACAACTTGCATTCTCATCGGATTAGAATCTATAGATGACATGTATATCATTGGTAGCAGTGCATACGTATACATGTACATAGTCATTCAGAATTCGACCACTATTCTTATTGTTTTGCTCTAGACTGATCCGCAATGGCTGTGCAATGCCACAGTGGTTGTGTTGTATGTATGTAACCTGCCACTAATCCGGCTGATTTCAGCCCTGTTCGTCTGTGCGTATGCGTGTACATGCATGCATGTGTGTGTGTGTGTGTGTGTGTGTGTGTGTACATGTGTGTGTGTGTGTACATGTGTGTGTATGTGTGTGTCCGCACATCAGTAGGCATGGGTGTACCTGCAGGCACGTGTGTGTACACGTGTCTAGATTGCATGCATGATGGTGTATGTCTAGATTGCATGCATGATGGTGTATGTCTAGATTGCATGCATGATGGTGTATGTCTAGATTGCATGCATGATGGTGTATGTCTAGATTGCATGCATGATGGTGTATGTCTAGATTGCATGCATGATGGTGTAGGAGTTGCTCGGCTTGTACAGTATACCAGCTACACAAGTAGCAGAGAGGTCACTGGTGGATGTATTTGCAGCGAAGAGAAAGAGACGGTTGAGTGAGTGTTAGGAGTGTGTAATGGGTTAGGTGTAAATGACTGCGGTCCGAGTTTTAATGTTTGCTGCGGTTTATTCTGGAAATGGTGGTGGCAGATGCTGTGGTTCGGTGCACTCCAGGCTGTAGCTCTGCTCACGGCTCAACTGCCTGCACGGAGTATTGCTTTATTCATACTGGTTTGTACATGACTTCAATTGTTTGGTCTCACTGATCGTCATGATCTCCCCAATACTCACTATTTATCGTGATTTCCCCACTACTCACTGTGTTCCTTGTTTCTTATGAACACAGCCTTGCTGATACTGACACAGTGGCTTGTGACTTGTGCAGAGTAACATTATTATAACATGACACGGGAGGTGTAGTGAGGACATGTCGATTAGGAGCGATTCAACCGACCTAAGTCTGTCCCTCCAGGAATCCGCGGCCGCGGTGTAATCCGCGGAATTCCGCGGAATTCATGTTTTTTTAATATCCCGCGGAATTCACAGTTTTCACCGCAGAATCGTGAAAAATCACGGTTTGGGGGCAATGCGAGCACGCGCATCATATTCATGCACATGCACAGTGCAGTGTCCTGTCGCTATTTTGTTGCATTCAAAGTCAAGGGAGTTTTCTTCGTTACTGTATTGAGCCTATCATGTGTTTTCGACCACTACATTTTTTATTGATACTTGTACATAGCATATAGCCATGTCTTTTCGCCGGTGCAGCGCCACAGAAATACCGCAGTATTGCCGCAGAATTCAAGCCGCATCATGTAGCGATTTGTGCCGCAGAATTCTGCGCAGAATTTCAACTTTCTGTCCGCGGATTCCTGGAGGGACAGCTAAGTGGTTGTGTGATGTGTGGGGGGGGGGGGGGGGCGAGCTTTTGATGCTCCGATGCGATTATCGCACCCGGAGGTGGCTGAGTCATCCGCTCGACTCGCTGTCTCGGAAGCTGCCATACAGCACTAGACACTTGTTTATGCCTCGTCATCATTGCTTTTTCTGGTATGGTTCATGTATGTAACTATTGGTACTTGTTTTTATTGTATCACTGTGTTACTAAATTCTGCCCGTACAAGAGGCCGGTTTACCAAGTTAAAAAAAAAATTATGGGCACTACATGATCACCTGGCCCGGCCATGGGCTGTGGGGCTTACAAAACCATGCAGGTTGTCTACCTGGTCTACAGATCGAGTGCGATAGTGCCCTTGAGTTGAGTTGATCATGTTTTTTTCGTTTTGTGGCTTATCTAGATGTGCGCAGTATGTAGAATTTCAGAAGCTAATCTTACAAACTGTTGAGGTTCATTACTAGATTCCTGGATACTTACGCTCAGCTCTACTTTCTGCGTTATGTTTGGTAGCTTGGCAAGTCCAGGGAGAAGCAAGTAGTTCCGAGGAATTCGTTTGTAAGCTCTACGTTCGTAAACTGAGAAGTAGCCGTCTGAAGAGCCTGAGTGGGAAATTGAGACTCGGGTTTTTTACAGTCTTTTTCTGATCAGTTCGGAACTCTCTGACATGACAATATCCTGGCCATTGAGACATTGTGCGGTGAGTGTTTGGACGAAAGCTGTGTTTGCTGACGACTCGTAAGAGTGAAAGGAAAGTGTTGAGGACTGCGCAAGATTGACCCCGCGCGGCAGCAGTACCGACCAGGATACGTGACAGCTGCATCAGTACGACAGTAGTCATGGTGGTGGCCTGGCTGTAGACTGGAGACCAGTTCATGTATTGCAGTACTCGAACAGATGGGACCCAGGAAAAGCGTGGAGTGTCTTCGGGGATGGCGATGCAGTACAGGGCAAAGTCGGCATCTAGCGCAGTGACAGTGTATCGACTGGTAGAAGGCCATCGCTAATTTAATTCAAGCTACCAGGAGGTAAGAGGCAGTCCGTCAATATGCAATCTTGGCTTTTGTCGTCTTGGACCTTTCCTCGATAGCAACAGAGATAAATTCTTGGACATAAATGTGCAGCTCATGTTACTGCACTCGCCAGCTGCTGGGTGGGGGGGGGGGGGGGGGGTGGGGGGGTGGAGGGGGGGGGGGGGGGGCTGCTTGTGTGTATTGTATTCTATTTGTATCGATTTCTGTATTTTAATTCGCAAGTACAGACGGGCTGTAAGCCCAGTTACATGGAAGCAAATGTGAGAATGTAAAGAAGAGGGGTGTGGGGGGGGGGGGGGGGGGGAGAAAGGTCAATGCTGTGAACATCACAAATTGTGCAGCAAAGAGTAACGTCGAGGACAATAATTATTAAGAGTAACAGCAACAATGGCACTTTGGCGACAGAGACTGAGATCAACCGTATCTGGAGAATCAGGGACTAATTTATCCGGTATCGCATCGCAGTTTGCGACGCAAAACACAGTGTCTGCGATTCGAAGTTCGTAGTGAGTCGCGGTTAACTGCGACACAACATACATGTTAGCTAAGTAGTGCATGCGTAGCGCATGCACATGTGTAGCTTTACAGTGTGTGTGGCTGGTTTGGCGCCACGAGATGGCGCGCCATGCACTGTGACTAGATTAGACTGTGTGTGTGTGGTTGTCCAGCCTGCACTGCTAGGTAGATTTTACACCATACGCACGCGCGGGCCGCGGGACCATGGCCAATTATGTCACACTATCTCCGCACACGCACCGCAGCGCGTGCACTTGGAAACTAACTAACTACTAACTTACTTGAAGTGCAGCCCAGGCCGGAAGCACGAGGCGAGTGTCGACTAGTAGTTCACCTGCTTTTGAGATATAGACCGCGTTGCTTCACTAGCAGTAGGCATCTCGACCGTTCAGGACTTATCTTTGTAAAATTCTGCTAGCCTTATTGATGAAGCCTCTTCACTGCCGGCATGTCTGTGAAGCAAGGTACTGTGGACAAGTGGATTGCTGAATTTGATCCCAAAAAAGAATGGAATCGCGCAGAGTCGAGTGGCGGAGCTGTGACCAAGATATTTTGCAAGATGTGCAGGGAGAAGGCGTCCTCGCTTCGTGGTTTGAGGAATTACAGCACGGCGTTCGTTGACGGTATAAGTGGATGTGCACTGAAGACTGCATTGTCGACGGAAAAAAACTGCTATGCAAAATTGTTGCGTTGCTATGCAAACGTCGGGGTGTGTAGCAATTATTGCTATGCAATTTTTTGAAGTAAATTAGTCCCTGAGAATGATTAAAAATTCTAATGAAGGGGAAACCGGAATCCAAGAGAATTATAAAAAATACATAAAAATGGAACTGGATGAAGATTGCACAATAATATGTTGTGACACATGCGGCATGATGCCTGCATAACTTCATAGAAGGAAAGGTACAGCTGGAGCACGGAACTGACGAGAGAAGGGGATGGACCGAATATATTTCCAGGCTAGTCACCCCAGCAAAGCGCACCCTGGAAAGTGAAGGCTCCCTTTCCCGAGTTGGTGTGGGTGGATGGCAGGCAGAGACCGATGTGAGCGGCCAGGCGCGTGGAACGGCCACGAGCGGGCGACAACCGGGCTGGAAGCTCTGGACTTACTTTACCACACATACAGCGTCAAAGCAGGAATGCCAATTTCTGCTTGTGCATCTCAGCTACACAAAACACACAGAGCCGCTCCAGGAGGTCATGGGCTGACGCATGAGTATGTGACCGCTTATTCAACTGTGTTCGATTGGGAATACGGGCCGAATGCTGCATCGCAGCTTTCTCGAACCAAAACCAGTCGATCCAGCGTCCAGAAGACTACAACATATGGGTAAATCACGGTCATCCGTGCTTTTTTTAAAGAATGAAATGGCGCTTTTAGTGACATTTTACATACACATTTTAAATCCTCATCTGCTCAGGTAGAGTAAGGACACTTTTCTGGTGCCGCTGTACATCAAGATCTGCGCAGCAGCTCGCCATAGTGATAATGTAGCTGACGTCATGTTACCAAGGAAAACATGGCGTTTGGCCGTGTTCGCCGCACTGGAGCGCTCAGCTTGTTTTCAAAATCTTGTTTTTGAAAAATGCTTCCAGTCCTTTGGAAGCACTTGGATTATACGCGAGTCACATCGTGATCTGTACGAGTATCAATATCATGGCCATTGTCTTGTGTCGTTTTGAGCTCGAATAGCTTTCCCTGGCGAAGGATTCAAAGATCATGACGTTATCTTTTATCGTGGGCATGAAGCTCCCCACTTGCAGCGGGGATGACAACAGACGGAATAAATGTGTTTAGTCGCGATCAGGAGTTCTGCTGGCAAAATTGATTAGCTTGGCGCGACCTGCGGCGTGTGAGGACTCCAGCTCTAGTTGGGCAATACCCCACAGACACATGTAGCTCGAAGTGCAGAATCGATTGAGAAAAATGACCAAGATCATAAAGAAGGCCTGTTTGCTTCCACAAAATGTTTTAGGCCATGGTCACACCAAACAAGCCGTTTCCAGCTTGCGCTGAAAGTGGCTTGTGCTGAATGAAGCGGTTGGTCACATCGACCCATGAGATCCGTTGATTTTTTTGCGTGCTGTAGAGGCTTTTTCCTCGCGTTCATTTTTGAATATGATTTTTTGAATTTTTTAAAATTATATTCTGTTGAACATGTACGTGGCAATCAGCAGGGTTTTGCCGGGTGCTGTACTAGGAGCTTCAATTTCCACATTGGAATCAGGGTGCTTGTTTGAAAGATTGAGGGAGGTTGAGCTTGTAGTGCAGCCATGGATCCTGAAACTAGACACAGTGCCGTTGTCTGCATTTTGCTCTGCACCGATATTATGGTGCGCATGCTTCAGTCGCACAATGGTCTCCCTGGTCTGACGCTGCTGAACCAAAATAATAGTATCTGGTAGAAAGCGCACACGGAAAGATGAGACAATAACAGACAGCAGGCAATGAGAGAAGTTGGACCACAAAGAAACAAACACCGAAAGCCGGAATATTTCAGAACACGATGCACCAATGGCAAGATGCGCTTTGGATTTGCAGGAGTTTGTTTTTCCCACCACTGAGTCAGAATGGCTGACAGTGGCTGAATCCATTCCGCACTCCATTCAGCGCGTTGAAAACGGCTGACTGGTGAAAATGCCTGAAGCCGAACATTTAGCCGTTTCTGTAGCAACGATGACGTCAAAAATGGCTTATTTCCGCTAAATGGCTGAATAGTGCTTGGTGTGCCCTGGCTTCTATCATTCGTGCTTGGTGTGCTTCTGTGGAAGTGCGCGAGTTTGATTGGGAATAAAGGAGGAATGGAGGGTCTCAGCTTCCTAGGACCAAGGCCATTTGACTTAGCACCCCGAAGACTACTTCTAAAGTACAACTTTGATTTTAGGCTTAACTTCCCATTTTTAATTTATTCTGGCTCAATGCCTCCACTGTGCAACCTACTCTCATTCACCAGTGTACATCATGTGTTGACTACGAGTACACCCAACACTGCACATCATGTATTGACTACGAGTACACCCAACACTGTACATCATGTATTGACTACGAGTACACCCAACACTCTACATCATGTATTGACTACGAGTACACCCAACACTGTACATCATGTGTTGACTACGAGTACACCCAACACTGTACATCATGTGTTGACTACGAGTACACCCAACACTGTACATCGTGTATTGACTACGAGTACACCCAACACTGTACATCATGTGTTGACTACGAGTACACCCAACACTGTACATCATGTGTTGACTACGAGTACACCCAACACTGTACATCATGTGTTGACTACGAGTACACCCAACACTGTACAACATGCGTTGACTACGAGTACACCCAACACTGTACATCGTGTGTTGACTACGAGCACACCCAACACTGTACATCATGTGTTGACTACGAGTACACCCAACACTGTACATCATGTGTTGACTACGAGTACACCCAACACTGTACATCATGTGTTGACTACGAGTACACCCAACACTGTACATCATGTGTTGACTACGAGTACACCCAACACTGTACATCATGTGTTGACTACGAGTACACCCAACACTGTACAACATGCGTTGACTACGAGTACACCCAACACTGTACATCGTGTGTTGACTACGAGCACACCCAACACTGTACATCATGTGTTGACTACGAGTACACCCAACACTGTACATCGTGTGTTGACTACGAGTACACCCAACACTGTACATCATGTATTGACTACGAGTACACCCAACACTGTACATCATGTGTTGACTACGAGTTCACCCAACACTGTACATCATGTATTGACTTCGAGTACACCCAACACTGTACATCATGTGTTGACTACGAGTACACCCAACACTGTACATCATGTATTGACTACGAGTACACCCAACACTGTACATCATGTATTGACTACGAGTACACGCAACACTGTACATCATGTATTGACTACGAGTACACCCAACACTGTACATCATGTATTGACTACGAGTGCACCCAACACTGTACATCATGTATTGACTACGAGTACACCCAACACTGTACCTCATGTGTTGACTACGAGTATACCCAACACTGCACATCATGTGTTGACTACGAATCCACTCAACACTGTACATCAAGTATTGACTTCGAGTACACCCAACACTGTACATCATGTGTTAACTACGAGTACACCCAACACTGTACATCATGTATTGACTACGAGTACACGCAACACTGTACATCATGTATTGACTACGAGTACACCCAACACTGTACATCATGTATTGACTACGAGTGCACCCAACACTGTACATCATGTATTGACTACGAGTACACCCAACACTGTACCTCATGTGTTGACTACGAGTATACCCAACACTGCACATCATGTGTTGACTACGAATCCACTCAACACTGTACATCAAGTATTGACTTCGAGTACACCCAACACTGTACATCATGTGTTGACTATGAGTACACCCAACACTGTACATCATGT